ATGACCTCGATAACCCATAAGTGGCGAGTAAATTAGCAATGGCAAAAGTAATAAAATATTCTAAAATCATTTGCAACATTTTTCTTAAAAGCCATTGAACAAGTTATAATCAAGATATCAAATTTGGTTAACAGATCCTTACAGCACATTCAGGAGGCCTATACTGAATTTAAATCAAAACTACTTTTTTGCCGAAAATGACAAAATTGTAAGTCTAAAGCCTCAAAGGATTTTTAATAAAAAATACGTTTTCTCTGAACTAAAATTTAATGTGCCTAACTATTTAAGTACATCCAGAAATAATACCAGTTACCCAAGAAACACCTCGATAACCCATAAGTGGCGAGTAAATTAGCATTGCAAAAGTAATACTAAAATATTCTAAAAATCATCGAACATTTTCTAAAGCCATCGGAACAAGTTATAATCAAGATATCAAATTTCTGGTTAACAGATCCTTGCTAGAGCACATTCAGAGCACCTATACTGAAATTTTGAACAAAATCCATTTTTTGGCCGAAATGATGTACCAGGTCTAAAGTTCTTAAAGGAGTTTTGGTCAAATACTTTTTTCTGAACTAAAATTCTAATGTGCCTTAACTATTTAAGCATCCAGAATAATACACAAGCACCCGAAGAAATGACCTCGAAAACCCATAAGTGCGGCGAGTAATTAGCATTGCAAAAAAGTAATTAAAATATTCTAAAATCATTTAAACATTTTCTAAAGCCACGGAACAAGTTATACAATCAAGATATCAAATTTTGATTAACAGAGTCCTTACAGCAATATTCAGGAGCACTTATACTGTGGGCCTCTTGAACAAAAACTATTTGGCCGAAAATGACAAATTGAAGCTCCAAAGCCCATGATTTTGGCCAAAAATACTTTTTTCTGAAATTAAAATTTAATGCCTAACTATTTAAGTACATCCAGAATAATACACACCAAAGAAATTAATACTCCCTGAAAAAACCCATAAGTGGCGTATAATTTAAAATAAAAAGTGAATAAATATTCTCAAAAATCACGGAAATATTTTCAAAAAGCCATTTGAACAAGTTATAATCAAAGATATCAAATTTTGGTTAACAGGATCCTACAGCACATTATTCAGGAGTACCTATACTGGTAAAATTTTAAACAAAATCCAGTTTATGGAAGTCAAAATGACGAAAAATTGTAAGTCTAAAGCCCAAATATTTTTGGCTAAAAAATACTTTTTTCTTGAACTAAAATTAATGTGCCTAACTATTTAAGTACATCCAGAATATGTTACAAGCACCAAGAAAATGACCTCAATACCCATAAGTGGCGAGTAATTAGCATGCAAAAAAGTACTAAAATATTCTAAAAACTATTTAAATGATTCAAAAAGCATTTTGAACAAGTTATAAATCAAGATATCAAATTTTGGTTATCAGATCCCCAAGAAAGCACATTCGTGGAGTACTAAGTACTGAAATTTGAACAAATCCATTTTTTGCCGAAATGACGAAATTGTAAGCTCCAGCCTGTATGATTTTTGGCCAAATATTTTTTTCTCTGAACTAAAATTCTAATGTGCCTAACTATTTAAGTTCATCCAGAATAATACACAAGCACCAAGAAACATTCCTCGAAAACCCATAAGTGGCGAGTAATTAGCATTGCAAAAGTACTAAAAATATTCTAAAAAATCATTTGAACATTTTGCCATTGGAACAAGTTATAATCAAGATACCAAATTTGGTTAACAGATTCCTACAGCACATTCAGGAGTACTCTATACTGAAATTTTGAACAAAAATCCATTTTTGGCCGAAATGACGAAAAATTGTAAGTCTGGGGTGTCTAAAGGATTTTTGGTCAAAATATTTTTTCTCTGAACTAAAATTTAATGTGCTCTAAATCTTATTTAAGTACATCCAGAATAATACACAAGCGCCCCAAGAAATGACCTCGAAACCTTATAAGTAGCGAGTAATTAGGCATGGCAAAAGTAATTAAAATATTCTAGTAAAAACTTATTTTGAACATTTTCTGGGTGTCATCGAACAAGTTATAATCAAGATATCAAATTCTAAGCTAACAGGATCCTAAGCAGCAATATCTCAGGAGTACCTATACTGAAATTTCAATCCATTTTTGGCCGAAATGACAAAATTGTAAGTCTAAAAGCCCAGCGATTTTTGGCCAGCCTTTCTTGAACTAAAATTTAATAAAGCTCAACTATTTAAGTACATCCAGAATAATACACAAGCACCAAGAAATGCATTCCTCGAAAACCCATAAAAGTAGTAATTAGTATTATAAAGTAATTAAAAGACGAAAAATCATTTAAACATTTTCTAAAAAGCCATGGAACAAGTTATAACTGGGTTATCAAATTTTAACAGATCCTTACAGCACATTCAGGGAGTACCTATACTGAAATTTTGAACAAAAATCCATTTTTTGGGTCAGAAATGACAAAAATTTGTAAGCTCCAAAGCCTTAAAGGATTTTGGCCAAAAATATTTTTCTCTGAACTAAAAATTTAATGTGCCTAACTATTTAAGTACATCCAGAATAATACACAAGCACCAAGAAATGACCTCTGAAAACCCATAAGTGGCGAGTACTTAAGTATTGCAAAAGTAATTAAAAATATTTCTAAAAAATCATTTGAACATTTTCTAAAAAGCCATTTGGATGTGAAGTTATAATCAAAGATGGTCAAATTTGGTTAACAGATCTCATGTTACTATCTAGGAGTACCTATACTGAAATTCTGAACAAAATCCATTTTGGCCGAAAATGACAAAAATTCTAAGTCTAAAGCTCTTGTATGATTTTTTAAATAAAAATACGTTTTCTGAACTAAAATTTAATGTGCCTAACTAATTAAGTACATCCAGAATAATACATACACCAAGAAATGACCTCGAAAACCCATAAGGGTGGCGAGTAATTAGGCATTGCAAAGTACTTTTACCAGTGGCTATTCTTAAAAAATCATTTGAAATGTTTTCTAAGTTTTATTTGAAATGCTATAATCAAGATATCAAATTTGGTTAACAGCTCCTTAAGCAGCACATTCAGGAAGTACCTATACTGAATTTAAAAATCCATTTTACCGAAATGACGAAAATTGTAAGTCTAGTTCTTTAAATGATTTTTGGCCAAAATACCTTTTTCTGAACCAGTACTCATCGTGCCTAACCATTTAGCACATCCAGAATAATACACAAGCACCAAGAAATGACCTTGAAACCCATATAAGGGCGGAAAGTAATTAGTGACAAAAGTAATAAAAGATGTCTTTAAAAATCATTTTGAACATTTTCTAAAGCCATTTGAATGTTATAATCAAGATATCACCCCATATCAGATCCTACAGCACATTCAGGAGTACCTATACTGTTTGAACAAACCATTTTTGGTCGAAAATGACGAAAAATTGTAAGTCTAAAAGCCTTTAAAGGATTTCGCCAAAATATTTTTTCTCTGAACCAAATTTAATGTGCCTAAATTATTTAAGTACATCCAGAATAATACACGTAAGCACCAAGAAATATCTCGAAAACCCATAAGTGGCGGAAGTATAATTAGTATTACAAAAGTAATTAAAATATTCTAAAAAATCATTTGGAAACATTTTCTAAGTCATTTGAACAAGTTATAATCAAGATATCAAATTTTGGTTAACAGATTCCTACAGCACATCTAGGAGTACATATACTGAAATTAACAAACCATTTTTGGCTGAAATGACAAAAATTAAAGTCTAAAGCCTTAAAAGGATTTTTAAATGTAATACTTTTTTTCTCTCTGAACTAAAATTCTAATGCTAAAATTTAATGTGCCTAACTATTTAAGTACATCCAGAATAATACACAAGCACCAAGAAATGACCTCGAAAACCCATAAGTGGCGAGTAATTAGCATTGCAAAAGTAATTAAAATATTCTAAAAATCATTTGAACATTTTCTAAAAGCCATTTGAACAAGTTATAATCAAGATATCAAATTTTGGTTAACAGATCCTTAAACAAGAGGACAGAGCTGTCAGGATTATGTTTAGTTGGCAATTATGTTTATTGCAATGGTAATTACTTATTTATTTACTTGATAATTTCCGATAAAATGGTTTTGATGGTACAATAAAAGCAGGTACTGTAAATATAGTAGGTGTTACAAGAAATATTAATACTTAGACAATAGATATTTTTTAAAAGATGATTTAAAGGAAGAAAGTGTAGTCTTTGCTGGGATGGGTGGGGGTAAGTTGTTCCACACCTTCACACCGTGATATTTTATGGAGGTCTGGGGCTGAGAGGAGCGCACTGGTGGTCTTAGTAGCTCTGGGTGCCTTAAGTTGTATCTCTGATTATTCCGGAACTGGAAATAATTATTATCAAGCAAGTGATTGATAGATTTGTAAACAAAGAGGGCACAGCAGTAGGTGTTAATATCTTCGAATTTTAAAATTTTCAATATAGCAAATTTTTCGATTGTGCGATCTGTTTTTTTTTTTCAAGTAGGTCATTGTCCGTACAACTCTCTTTTGTGCAGTAACCAGAGATTGTGTTTTTGAAGAGCCAGAGGCTCCCATAGTGTGTGACAGTGTATCAGGTGTTGGTAAACAAGATCATGATAGATTTCTTTCATTGCTGTGAGAGTGAGTGACTGTAGAGGGTGATACATGATACCACACTGTTTATTGACTTTACTGTGAATGGCTTGTATGTGGTTTCTCCAGTTAAGTTTCTCATCAACAATAACTCCGAGGAACTTAGTATTTTGTTCGCGTTTGAGGACTGTATTACCTACTCCGGCAGTGCTGCCTTTACTCAAAACGTTTGGGAATTCATCTTTGGAAATATCTTCAGAGTCTTTGTCACTTTCTCTTGAATATTATCAACAGCGGCAAATTTTTATAATGAACGGTTACTGGAGTCACACCACAATATAACAGCACGAGGCTAAAAGAATAAAGAAATAACTTTGACAGAGAGAAAGAGCTGGGGAGCCTGACCTGCATCATGGCTGTAGCTGTGAGAGGAACAGTGCTGGCCACAGTGACGCTAGCTGCCTGGTAGTGTACTGTCCCCTGTGCTGCTTTTCCTCCACTCCTTTCACTTGTGGTCACTTCTCGTCTTTGTCTACCAAAAAAAATATATATATATTTAATGATTAATAAAAATATTACAGAATAAAAATAAAGAAAACGCAAGAGTCTGTACCACAACCTAATGCAAGAAGTCTGTCTGGAACACCTAATCAATTTATGGTTTTCATCACATGATCAATGCCAAGTTTCAGGAATTATTACACATAGTTATGTCACTCATAGCCAAGAAACCATATTTACTTGGAGGCTGTAGAGTTGTAGATCAGATTCCCGCATCGCCGTTTCGTTGCATCAAATGAGGTTTCCTAGGGATTTTTTTTTAATTTGACGCTGATGCTCTGTCTCCCTTTTTGGATATGGGTACTACATTTGCCTGTTTCCACAAGTCTGGCACAGCTTCTGTGTCTAATGATTTTGTAAATAAATTTATGAGGGGTCTGCTAATCTGTTCATTACACTCTTTCAAAACTCAGGGAAAATTTCATCCGGCCCTGGGGATTTTGTGTTCTTTAATTTATTTATCTTCTTAAGAACATCCTCTTTTCTGATAGTGATATTCTTTAATTTCTCTTCTTCATTTCCCCTAATTATCAGTTCCACCTCTGGAATTTCCTTGTGAATTTCTTCTGTGAAAACTGACCAGAAGTAGCTGTTTAATGTTTTGCTTATTTTCTCACTATCATCAATCACTTCCCCTCTCTCTGACTTTAAAGGCCCCACTTTGTCCTTGACCTTTGTCCTATTTACCTGGAAAAATCCCTTGGGATTCGCCTTGGATTCTCTTGCTATGCTGATTTCGTAGTCCCTCTTTGCCTTCCTTACATTTTTCTCAACATTCCTAGGTAGTTCATTATACCTATATCTGAGCTGCTCCTCCCCTCCCTTTAATTTCTTATAAATTCCTTTCTTTATTCCTATGTCATGTTTAAGTTTTATGGTCATCCACCTTGGCTCATTCTTATTTGACCTAATTTTTCTGTATGGTATATTTTGTTCGTGTTGTGTCGCCTGTGACCTCACCCATTCCTACCGGGGGACTGACCTGACTGTTCCCAGGCGACCTCACCGAGGTACCTTCTTAACCCCTCATAATCCGCCGATCGAAAGTCTGGGACTCTGACCATTTTGTCATTGTTTTTTTGTTTCCCAATTTAGGGTGAACCTGATTTCTCTGTGATCACTGTTCCCTAGTTCTTCCCCTATTGTGATATCTCTGATAATATTTTCTTTATTTTGTAATACTAGGTCTAATATATATTGTTACCTCTAGTAAGTTCTGTAATTAGTTGTTTCAAAAAATTTTCCTGTACTGCATCTAGGAAGTCTTCAGATTCATAGTCACCTACAATGTTGTCCCAGTCAATATTCCTTAGTTGAAGTCCCCATAATGCACAGGTTGTTGTATTTTGCTGCCCTACTCGTTTCCTGCTATATGGGCTGAGCTGCTTCTTTCCCAAGACTTGGGGGCCTATAAATCACTCCCATAATTAGTTTTTCTCTTCCTTCCACAATTTCTACCCATACAGACTCGGTTCCAATTTCCCCCTTTATTGAATTATTAATACAACATTTTAATGTATCCCTGACGAAGAGTGCGACCCCTCACCCCTTCCTACCTTCGCTGTCCTTGTGAAAAAGGCTGTACCTCTGACCCAGCTTGGAGAAGGTCGTGCCGATCGTGCTCCCGCTAGAGACCAAGGAAAATGGCCGCTTTGGATCGTTGTGCCGTGGGGGAAGAGGAGGGGAGTGTGGGGAAGGACGACCTCCTTGCCACGCTGTTAAGGCAGCTGGGGCAGTTGAGGAGTGAGGTTGACACTCTAAAGGGGGAAAATGAAGCCCTCAGGATGGAACTCCTTCAGGTAGGTGTCCTGCCTAGCAGGACACCTGCGAAGGAGGAGCAGGCGTGGAGAGTGGTTGTCTCCAAGGGGACTAGGGTCAGGCTTAGGAAAGCTGACCAGGGTGTGGAGTGCAGCAACCCTTACCAGGTGCTGCAGGAAGCTGGAGAGGAAGAGAAGAGGCAGGACGGTATGGATCAAGGAGAGGAAAGGGCAGTTGTACAAACCCTGCCCACAGGTAAGGTCGTGGTAGTTGGTGACAGCCAGGTGAGGTTTATGGATAGGGCTTTTTGTGCGAGAGATGGGAAACGTAGGACTAGGGTATGTTTTCCTGGGGCTGGGATAGGGCATGTAGCCGAGAGGTTAGACAGAGTTTTGTCAGGGGAGGGTACTAATCCAGTAGTGTGTCTTAGTGTGGGAGGAAACGACATAGGTAAGGTTAGGAGTGAGGAACTTTTCAAGAGGTATAGGGAGGCGCTGGGGAAGATTAAAGATAGGGGAGGGATCCCTATAGTATGTGGTGTCTTGCCTAGAAGAGGGGTTGGTCGTGAATGGCTGTCCAGGGCAATTGCTATTAATTGCCGACTGGAAAAACATTGTGCAAACAATGGTTGGGCATTCATTGATGACTGGCAACGATTTTATGGCAACGACTACCTGTACTGTCGCGACGGAGTACATTTGTCTCGTGAGGGGGTAAAGACGTTGTTTGCATCCCTGGAGCGTGAAATTGTCACTCCGAAGGGGGGGTTTCGCCAGTAGAGAGGGGTCGGGGAAAATGGGAGTCAAAAAACAAGCAGGTCCTGGGAAGTAGTGAAACAGAAGTAGATAATGCTGAAAATATAGTTAGTCATAATAACAAACATCAAAGTAATAAATGTAAAACAGACAGAAACGGAAGAAATATATTGAGTGTTTATTATACTAATAGTAGAAGCCTGTGTAACAAGATAGACCAGCTCAGGGCCATTGTTAGTAAAGAGAACATAGATATAATTGCAATATCGGAAACATGGATAAATTCAAACAGCAAGCATTTTTTAGCAGAATTTCATATTCCAGGATATAACCTATATAAATTTGACAGAGTAGGAAGGAGAGGTGGCGGTGTAGCAGTGTATATCAGGGTGTCATTAAAAAGCTGCAATAAATCAAACATTAAAACAAATAGCGATAATGAAAGTATTTGGGTAGAGATTGGTGAGGGCAGTGAATCCGTAGTCATTGGTGTTATATATAGACCACCTAATTTGAGTAGGAACGATGGAAAATTGCTATGGGAGGAAATAAAGAAGGCATCTGATAGAAACAATGTATGTATTCTAGGCGATTTCAACTTTTCAGGCATAGATTGGAAAAATCAACTTAGCGATAATGAATCTGAAGATTTTCTAGAAGTAGTACAAGATAGTTTTTATATCAATTCATAAACTCGCCCACTAGAGGAAATAATATCCTCGATTTAGTTCTCAGTAATAATGAAAATCTAGTAAAAGATGTTGGGATTGGAGACGAACTAGGAAACAGTGATCATAAAGCCATATATTTTAACATAATATGGGATGGCAGGAAAAAGGAAAATTCGGCCTTGATCCCGGATTTTAGGAAGGCTAATTACGGTAGCTTAAGGAGAGACCTAAGGGATGACCCTATGGTCAAAAGATTAATCCCCCACACACCTCCGGAAACTGTCAACTTAGGACGGGATAACCCCGAATTTAATTTAGCAGCTACTTATGAACAATTTATTGCGACAATCAATAATGCCCAAAATAAACACATCCCTAAAAGAAAATTCAGATCGATACGGAACCAACCAAAATGGATGAATAATAGACTCTTAGATCTTCTAGGGAAAAAAAAAGGAGTATATAGAGAAGTTAAGAAAGGCGAAAATCACTTACTTGGTTACTATCAGAACCTAACAAGACAGGTAAAAACAGAAATTAGGAAAGCAAAGAAAAATTATGAAATCAAGGTAGCAAAAGAATCGAAAAATAACCCCAAAGCTTTTTATCAACTGTATAAATCAAAGGATAGAGATACAATAGGTCCCCTTAAAACTACGGCAGGAGAAATGACTGATGATGAGTTAGAAATGTGTAGTACGTTAAATAGTCATTTTCGCTCCGTATTCACAAATGAAAACCTAGCACAGTTTCCAGAAGTTCATAAGGTATATAACGACAGTATAGAAAATATGTTGATGAATATCAATATTACTTAGTAACGATGTGCTTAAAGTAATTAACAAACTGAAGCTCCTCATAAATCGCCTGGTCCAGACGAGGTATATGCTAGAATATTAAAAGAATGTAGAGATGAGTTGAGTAATCCATTAGCAGTTTTATTTAATAAGTCATTAGAATCGGGCCTAGTGCCAGAAGCTTGAAACTTGCAAATGTAGTCTGATTTTCAAAAGGGTGATAAATCATTAGCATCAAATTACCGTCCCATTAGTCTCATCGTCAATTACAGGCAAGTTGCTAGAGTCAATTATTGCTACAAAAAATCAGAAGCCACCTTGAAACATTCAACTTAATTCATTCTTCTCAGCACGGGTTCACCCAGGGACGTTCTTTGTCTCACAAATTTGTTTTAGCTTTTTTCAGAAGTATATGAAGCGGTAGATAATGATAAGTCATATGATATAATTTATTTAGATTTCAGTAGCTATCTGATAGTCCCCTCATGAGAGATTGATATGAAGGTAGAAGCACATGGAATAGGTGGATCAGTATTAAAATGGATTAGGCTTCATGGTTAACTGGTAGGAAACAAAGAGTCAGCATAAATGATTAAAGTCAGACTGGGTGGCGGTCAAAAGCGGAGTTCCCCAGGGATCTGTATTAGGCCCCTCTGCTGTTTGTTATATTCATTAATGATCTTGATTTAGGCATAACTAGTAGATTAGTAAATTTGCAGATGATACCAAAATGGGGAGAAAGTGATACCCAGGACAGTGACTTTGAACACCTTCAAAGAGATCTAGATACCTTACATGAGTGGTCAGTAGACTGGCAAATGAATTTTTAATACTAATTGATAAAATGCAAGGTACTACAGATAGGGAAGACGAATACAAACGTTAAGTATAAATCCAGGTAACACGGAAATAGAAACTCCAGTTTGTGAAAAAGATCTAGGTGTATTTGTTAGCAACGACTTGGAAACCTAGAAAACACGTGTAATAGCG